TAGTAACCTTGTCAGTCGGTCTTGGTGCTCTTCCTTCAGCGAATTCGACAATAGTTTGCGTCGTCGGCATGAAGCGCGAAACGCGCGTCCACGGCGACTGAGCTACGCTATCCTGAAATCGTTGAGGTGAAAATGAGGAACGAGCATTTTCTCTTACATGCATGTCGCCTCTGTGCACGTAATACTGAGGAGTTCTTCAAGCACATAAAAACAGAACTCAACACATGTGGCCAGGAAATCAATAACGGGTCAGCTCAAGAGATTTTTCAGCTTTCGGGGTTCCGAAAGGTCTTATATTGGAAACTAAAAATGGGATTTTGAATCAATCAGCACGGAACAGCGTCTCCTAACGAGAGCCTGCTTGTTTCCAGAATAATCGGCCGGGGAGATCAAGTCAAATGATTTCTTCAGCGCTGAGTTCGAGCCGGCTGACAGCAGCATTACTGAAAACGATCAGATCTGCTCTGCTATATGTGCAGTCAAATAAAAGCCAAGAAACATACGGAAATTTTTCGTTAAAGGAAAATTGCTGAAAAGAACCAGACAAAGAGGAGCTTTAGGGATCTTATTTGGAGCAGTGGTTTGACAAATTGGTGAGAAATCCCGCAAAACTTCAAAGTATGGGGTCCAAACGCAAGTTCTGGGAGTGAGCGCTTGGCATAATAACGTGGGAAGGACCAAGATGATGCACATTACAGCGAACGAGGGTTCGCACAAACAGCAGCCCTCTTGGAATCAACAATTGGCCGCACGCACACTGATGTGGGCAGCTTAGGTACTGATAGTAATATCGATGTATCGGGAAAATGGTTTTCAAATTGGTTAGAGCATACTTGAGCCATTCTAATACCGCATATAGAGGGTAAGCATACAATCGAACTTTAGATTTTTAATTTACGCAAAATTTTGGGTAAAGGAAGAAGCGCTGTTCCATTGATTTTTATATTATTTCATACGAAATCCCCTGCCTTGAAAAAAAGATCCAATTGCTTGAATTGCTACGCTCTTCTATGTTATACTGCTTAAATTTCAGTAAATTCTAAGAGGGTGAGAATGGAGCGCCCGCTCGTCAAAAATGAGTGTTTTCGGCACCGTTTTTTTTGCTTATGATCGAGGTGCTAAAAGGGAGGGTCCGCGATAAGGAGCGTAGATATTGGCGGTGAATATATGGAAAAGAAGTTGCCAAGTGTTCCGTCTATGAAGAGAAAATGCCGAGGGTAAAAGGCTAAAAGACCGTTGTTGGAATGAGTTCACCCGGCTAATTCCTTGTGGTGAACCCTCAGGAGAGGATGGAGCATCCATTTCATGCTACGTACTTTGTCCGGACGCATCGGCTGGAAGAGGCGTAGTCTAGAGGGGGTCACTGGCAAAGGGGAGGTGTCACCGAAGCAGCTTTGCGCCTCAACTTCTTTATCTCCTATATCTCATCTCCTACTTTTTTTGAACTAACTTTCCCCGGGATACTGTCACAGGTTTGTCCACTGCGGACAATATTACCCTCTCCACACGTCTTTTACATTTCATCGCGAGTCGTATTTTTAAGGTGCAGAAGCTGCCCGAAAAGGGCGAAGCGTACGGTCGAGAAACGAAGGCAACGTACGACTGTTACTCGACTGAGGTAAATGAAAGGTGGGTAACCCCGTGCAACCCGTCGAGCTCGATGAAACGCGATTGTATGTGCAACTCATACACCACTTTTGTCAAATTTTCCCAATAGTGAAGGTAACACTCGATGGCACTGTGAAAGTGTTCTGTTATCCATGATAATTCGCTGGTCGTTTGATGTAGAACTTCTTGAATAAGCCAGTTCTGCTCAAGAGGGATTCCGGTGCGGTGCATGCACATATAGCAGGTCTGTATTGAAATCTTGGACGTCCAGGCCGAACTGGAGCCATTTCGCGGCACTGCTTCTCAGCTCACCGAAGGCAGCGATTATTGAACTGCTAAAGGCCCCCTGTTAATGTTAATGAAGTACATGTAGAGAATTATTCAACTGGTCTGTGATGTTCTCATTTGGGCTTTGCTCTAGAGCCCTTTACACTTCTTGTTCGGAAGTTTCAGCACTTTCGAGTTAAACATTTGTAAGTTGCTATGGTCCGTAGCACCCCTTGAATAAACGTGTTTTGAAAATTCAGTTAATTAAAGCCAGAGTGACTGCATTTGATATCTTCATCTCGCCTACGGCGAAAATACCGTAAAGTATAAATATAAATAAAATATAAAATATGGTGATAGCGACCTGACCTGCAAGGAGACTTGCGGGACTCCCCACAAGTGCTTTTCTGAATGGACGGGATTTGTGTGGTGGGCGATGACCGTAAAAAAACAGCAAACACTTTGGATGAAAACTGCTCGTAATCGTGCACGCAATGTGTAACTCACCATTGAGCCTGCCTGAAAGGTGAGCTCCCCTTGAGGTGATTAATCTGAACCAACTAGCTCCCGACTAGGATGTTAGGACTGTTCACCACAGTTTTTTTTCAAGATCAATATTCAGCGCATGCTTTGGATCAGCACATGCGAAGAAATATTAAGATAGAGTAAATACCGTGCTCAAGGTGCGAGCCCGTTCTCGATGCTGGTCCATATGCTCTTCAGAGACGTGGTGACATTTCGTCAGAAGAAGCATCCGTCCCACAAGATCCTAAATAGAGAACCACATAGTCATTTGTGTCCAGAACCGGCAAAGCTTTAGAAAGGTGCTCGCTCGAGGCCGAGGTTTCGAAAAGCGCATTCAAAATGAACCAATGGGAACCACAATGCCCATAATCTAAGCCTTCAATTTTTTGAAAAAGTTCCGTATAAATTATCCTGGCGATGAGTGGTACTATTTTCTGAGAACCTTGTAATTGCGAAATCATTGAAATGAGCTTGGGGGTCGATCTCGCATCAAAACGCTCGCTGAAAAACGGATTACCGTAGTCGATACACCGGCTGTTCGTTTACATTCTCGGTAACGTTTTGCTTTCTTCACCTCCTCGTATGTGTCTTTCCCATCGGCTGTGAGAGTTATGTCATCTATAAACGTTCAATTCATCTATTATTACATTTGCTCAGAATATTAAAATAAGATTTTTTACTCAAACCCAGTAACTCATGAAAGCCTGGGCGGACGACAATGAGAAGCAGGGCACATCATTGGTTGGGGATTTTAGTCGACTCTATACGACCCCCCCTTTTTTGGGAGTTGGTACGACCCCCCCCCAGCCCTCTGTCCTTCCTCATCGAATCGAGCCGTCGAGCGGCTCCCCAACAACGATGTGCCCTGATGAGAAGCAACACGTGGGATTTAGTCAAATCCCGACCAGATGTCGCCCAAGCTAGAGACATCTGTGGCTCTGGTAACATAATCGCCAGGGGGAGGGGTAAGAACGCAAAACTGCACATCGGCCGAAGTCGGCCAAACTTCATAGCATGCTGCACTGGCTACTCAATTACCACTACCGCTTCCAATGAAAGGCAAACGTATGGCTCCAAAAATAGGCTTACGAATGCCAGTTGCTTTACACTCTTACCTCTACGGGTATCCACTACTAGTTTGCTTTCTTCATGGGGTAGAGGATAAAGTTCTAGCCATTGATACGTCCATTCTTGAGATGCGGCGAGCATCCTACTTTCATTGAGAATCACATAGGCCTTCGAAAGCCATTTAGCTACCACCATGAATCGCAGGGTCCATAGGATGCGAAAATTGGTGTTTTCATTTTTCTCCGACACCAATCTACCTGCTTAGAAGAAATGGAAGTACTGGTTAGCCCGGGCAGGAGCCGATTCCAGAAGTGATCCCGCGCAGAAAGCCGCTTAGGGCACGCCGTTGTTGTGGAGGGGGGGGGGTCGTATTTTTCCCCGAAAGAGGGGAGATTCCAAAACGCAGGGCCCATTCATAGGTGAGGAGAGCAGCAGTACCAAAGTGTCGTGCAATTGGTGATCAAAAGAGATTTATTAATGATTTTTGCTGTGAGAAACACTTGAAGGGGCACATGAAGACAGAGGCAAGTTGCAAGCTCAGAGCTGGGAACCGCAATAACAAGAAATACACTAGGCGCCGGCGGCGACGTTTTGAAACAATAAACAGACAAGATACGGTATACGCTCAGACTTTCCTGAAGCGTAGGAGCATATCTGCTTGCAGCCTAGAAGTTACACCTTTCCAACACCTCTGCGTGGGAGTCGGGTGCACGGCGTAACACAGAAGGGGTGTCAATCGACGCCGAATAAACTATTTTCTCGACACAAAAAGACTAAAGGAGATAATATCGGATAGGTACTCAAATTTTAACGATCGATGAAAAGATGCATCCTAGAAGCTAATTCAAGTCTCCAAACAAA